TTTTTCACGAAAATGGGGCGTGCAGAGGGTTTGGGAGGGCTGGGGAGGGCAAAAACACCCCCGTTTTTGGCCTCCAACCTTCCCCCCCACGCATCTGGTTTTTGCCCTCCCCAGCCCCCAGGAGCACTTTCCAGGCTTCCCAAACCCGTGTGCCCGGTTTTCACGAAAAACAGGCCCATTTTTGGCCTCCCCAAACCCCCATGCGTCATGTTTTTGCCCTCCCCAGTCCCCAGGGCCCATTTTTTGCAAAAGGAGGTGCAGAGGGTTTGGGAGGTTTGCAGAGTGCTCCTCGGGGCTGGGGAGGGCAATTTTTTTTTTCTTGTTTTCCTCTTTATAATCTTGGTGCATCTTATACTCCGGTCCAAAAAATACGGTAATCATTTTCTGTTTAACTTTATCGGTGTCTCACATCACTGTGGAGGAATTTTAGCTCACCCTCCTTTACAACATTGCTTCAGTTTCATCAAGATTTGGGGGTATTTCTTTATGCCCACCTCTCTTGAGGTCCCACCACAGCATTTTAATCGGGTTGAGGTCTGGGGTTTGCCTGGACCATTGCAACACCTTGATTCTTTTCCTTTTTCAGTCATTTCCTGATGTGCTTGGAATCATTGTTTGCTGCATGACCCAATGTCGGCCATGCTCTAGCTGTCAGACAGATGGCCTCACATCTAACTCTGAAATACTTTGGTATACAGAGGAGTTTGTGGTTGGCTCAATTACTGCAAGGTGCTCAGCTCCTGTGGCTGCAAAACAAGCCCAAATCATCACCCATTCACCACTGTGCTTGACAGTTGGTATGAAATGCTTTTGCTGATGTGCCATTCTTGTACATTACGGCCAAACATCTCCACTTTGGTCTCGTCTGAACCATATTGTTCAGTCTTTTGATAATTGTACTGTCATAAACTTTTACCATTTAACATGCTAACTGAGGCCTGGAAAGACTGAGATTTAACTTTGGAATTTTGCAATTTCTCTGAGGATTGGGGTGAACTTGCTGGGATGTCTGCTCCTGGAAAGATTGGCAGCTGTCTTGAATATTTTCCACTTGTGAATAATTTTCCTCACTGTAGAATGATGGAGTTTTAAATTATTTGGAAATGGACAGGGTGTGGTTCAAAAATTTTAGCAAGAGGTTCTCTCCCCAGGATCCGGAGGCTTTCCTCGAGCCTCTGGGAGGGCGAAAACGGCCTCCCCAAACTCTGGAGGCCCTCTGTAGGCTGGAAATGGGCCCGTTTTTCACCATCCAGTAGGCCCGTTTTTCACCATCCCCGAGCCCCTGCGCACGCCCTGCACTTACCTGCATCCAAAACAGGCCACGCGGGGACTCCATGTGGGGAGGGGAGGGGTGGGCGGGGCTAGCCAGGAGTGGGATTTGGGGGTTCTCCGAACTGGACAGAATCTTAGCTAGAGGTTCTCCCGAACACCTGCGAACCCCCAGCAGCCCCACCCCTGGAAATGGCCTTATAACCCTTCCCAAATTGACGGGCAGCAACAATCGCTTCTCCAAGATCACTGCTGATGTCTTTCCCCTTTGGCATTGTGTTAACACACTTCCCAATACTGGAGACCAGCAAACTCCTAAAAATTCAGATTTTATAGAGATAGACACACTTGCTGATGATCAGTTGATCAAGGACATTTGATTAGCAGCACCTGGCTGCCACTTAGCCTCTTCATACCTGGGGAAGCAGTAAGGGTATAGTTTTTCCACATATGGCTTCTCTATTTTGGCTTTTGTTTTGTAAAATAAATGACATGGAGTCCTCTGAAGTTGTATTTACCTACTTTTAAGAACTGTGAAAGTTGATTTTTACTATGCCCTGATCAGTGGTGGGTTCCTCACGGTTCGGCCCGGTTCTCCCGAGCCGGTAGCAGTGACAATATGACATCACCGAATCGGTTCTGCCCCCCCTGCACCCCCACCGTGCCCCCCCCGGTTATTCTTACCTTTTATTTGGCCCCACCCCAATCTATTGCTGCCTCCTGAGTCCCAGTTGATGGCTAGAGGGAAAAAAACTGTTTAAACTCTTGCCTGGGAGCTTCAAAGGGCCGCCCTACAGCTGATCAGTGTTAAAAGAAAACAAATGAGTAGACCAGTGCCTGCAAAAATACATGAGTAGATCAGTGCCTGCGAAAATAAATGGGTAGATCGGTACAGCTCTGCAAGCAGTTAAAAGCCTGGTAGACCAGTACCTCTGCTAAATCCTAAATAATTGTCACATGACCATCAAACCACGCCCACAAAATAAGCCACGCCCACAGAACCGGTGGTAAAAAAATTTAGAACCCACCCCTGGCCCTGATACGTAAAACATGAGGGTGCATTTATTTACATGAGAGCAAAAAAAAAAGTCTGGCCATCTCTTTTCCTGTTAAAATGTTTTATGAAAAGACACATCTGATTTTACAATAACGGAAATCAAATGCCCTATGAGGTCATCTTTTCTCGGCCTGAATGGTTTCCCATTGCTGCCTCCTTTGTCTTCCTAAATTTAGCGTACAGGATGGAGATGGGGGGGGTCCTTGGTGTTCTCTGAGCTTGATTTCTTGTAGACGTTTAATTACCCAGACTAGGTAACATCATCAGTGCTAGTTGAGAGCGAAGGTTGTTGAGAGCGTGGTGGCACGACAACTTTCCCAACACCTGGATGAAGCTATCTATCTAGACCCGTACCAGTCGGGCTTCAGGCGGGGGTACAGCACAGAAACGGCATTGGTCGCGTTGGTGGATGATCTCTGGAGGGCTCGGGACAGGGGTTGCTCCTCTGTCCTAGTCCTATTAGATCTCTCAGCGGCTTTTGATACCATCGACCATGGTATCATGCTGCAGCGGTTGAGGGGGTTAGGAATAGGGGGCACCGTTTTGCGGTGGTTCTCCTCCTTCCTCTCCGACCGCTCGCAGTTTGTGTTGGCAGGGGGACAGAGGTCGACCTCGAGGCGTCTCACATGGGGGGTGCCGCAAGGGTCAGTCCTCTCGCCCCTCCTGTTCAATATTTATGTGAAGCCGCTGGGTGAGATCATCCGTGGTTTTGGGGTGAAGTGCCATCTGTACGCTGATGATACTCAGCTGTACATCTCCACCCCAGACCACCCCAACGATGCCCTTGATGTGATGTCTCGCTGCCTGGAGGCCGTGCGGGTCTGGATGGGGAAGAACTTGCTCAGACTCAACCCCTCCAAGACCGAGTGGCTATGGCTTCCGGCGCCCCGATATAGTCAGCAGGTGCCATCGCTAACTATTGGGGGTGAATCTCTGCCCCCCACAGAGAGGGCTCGCAATCTGGGTGTCCTTCTGGATGCACGGCTGTCTTTAGAAGAGCATATGACGGCCGTGGCCAGGGGGGCCTTTTATCAGGTTCGCCTGATTCACCAGTTGCAGCCCTTTCTGGATCGGGAAGCCCTACGCACGGTCACTCATGCCCTTGTTACTTCCCGGTTGGACTATTGTAATGCTCTCTACATGGGGCTCCCCTTGAAGAGCACTCGGAGGCTCCAACTGGTCCAGAATGCAGCCGCGCGGGTGGTTATGGGCGCAACTCGTTGTGCCCATGTGACACCCCTCCTGCGCGAGCTGCACTGGCTCCCAGTGGTCTTCCGGGTGCGATTCAAGGTGTTAGTTACCACCTTTAAAGCACTCCATGGCATAGGACCCGGGTACCTCCGAGACCGTCTTCTGCCACCAATAGCCTCCCACCGACCAGTCCGTTCCCACAGGGAGGGTCTCCTCGGGGTGCCGTCAACCAAGTTATGTCGACTGGCGACGCCCAGAGGGAGGGCCTTCTCTGTGGGAGCCCCAGCCCTGTGGAACGAACTGCCCCCGGAAATTCGTAAGATCTCCGACCTCCGGGCGTTTCGCTGCGCACTGAAGACCCTGTTGTTCCGCCAGGCCGGACTAACAACACAATAGCTTTTAAATTGGGATATTTAAATTTATTGGGGTTTTAAATCTGAGTCACTTTATTTAATTATTTTAAATTTTATATTGTTGTTTTCTTTGTGTTTTTAAACAGGCTGTACACCACCCTGAGTCCTTCGGGAGAAGGGCGGTATAGAAATAAAATTATTATTATTATTATTATTATTAGTAAGGAATGGGCTTTGCTCTCAATTTATATTCTAGTGGCTTGGCCTGTCAGCGTTGGTGGGAGTGGTATTGGTGGTTCTTTGGCTGGACCAAAACCACTCCCACCAACACTGACAGGGCAAGCCACTAGGATATAAACAGAGCAAAGCCCATTCCTTACTAACACTGATGATGTTACCTAGCTGGGTCATGAAACGTCTGCAAGAAAACCAAGCTCAGAGAGCACAGTCCTCCTCCATTCCACAAGCACTGATGATGCTACCTAGTTGGGTCCTGAAACATCTTCAAGAAAGCAACCAAGCTCAGAGAGCACAGTCCTCCTCCATTCCACAAGCACTGATGATTCTACCTAGCTGGGTCCTGAAATGTCTGCAAGAAAGCAACCAAGCTCAGAGTACAGTCCTCATTCTTCTCCATTCCACAAATCCGACTCCCCTCAAGCACTGATAATGCTACCTAGCTGGGTCCTGAAACGTCTATAAGAAAGCAACCATGCTCAAAGAGCACAGTCCTCCTCCTCCATTCCACAAGCACTGATTATGCTACCTAGTTGGGTCCTGAAACATCTATAAGAAAGCAACCATGCTCAAAGAGCACAGTCCTCCTCCATTCCACAAGCACTGATGATGCTACCTAACTGGATCCTGAAACGTCTGCAAGAAAGCAAGACCACCAAGGAGACCCTCTCATTTCAACCCGGAGAATACAAATATTCTCCTTTTTTGGAACCGGGAGATTTCCTCGTGGTCCCCTGACCGGCCTCTCCACCCCAGGCTTTGGCTCAGCCCAGAGGCCCCAAGCAACTTCCTCTCCCTTCCCTTAACCCTCCCCACCCCGCCCCCAATCCTGTTGCAACTCGGAGTAGTTTCCCTCCAGCTTTGGAGAGCTAGAAAGAGGCCAAGAAGCCGGGGGAAAACCCTTTTTTGTCAAGTCGACACCTCTGCCTAGCAGCTGCCAGCCTGAAGAGCCGGGCGCGGACGGGCGACCGGGCGTCTGTGCGCCATTGGCGGCGAGGAGGGTCTCCTGGCAGGGTCCGGCCTCTCCGTCCAGCCCACCCACTCACCCCTCGAGCTCCTCCCGCGGCTCTTTTTTCCCCCCCTCATGAACCGCCCGCGGACTTCCTCGCCGTAGCAGGGCGCTGTGAGGGGAGCCGGACAGCCCGATCCCGCGGCGGCTTTCCTGCGTTTAGCCTCGCCTTGCCCGTTGACGGCGGCCAGGAAAGGGGTCTCCGCGCTTTGGAAGCCTCCCCTCTTTCTCCCCCACCTCCGGGGGTCCATGTAGCCCCGGCGGCGCGGCTCCCCACCCGGCCCCCTCCGCCGCGATGTCCTCCCCGGTGCGCTCGCCCACCCTGCGGCCCCATCGGATGAGGAAGGACGAGTCTTTCCTGGGGAAGCTCGGAGGGACGCTGGGCAGGAAAAAGAAAGCCAAGGAGGGTGAGTAGGAGCCGGAGACGGGACCCGCTTTCTCCCCCCGCGTGCTTCGAACGAGAACCCGCCGCTGGTGCGAAAGGCAGAGAACCAGACAGCTTAGGAGCCACGCCGGCCTCGGTGCGCGGGTGTTTAGGAGCTCTCTCTGGAGAGACCTGGTGGTGGAATTAATCCTTTCCCCAAATTTGGATTTAAAAAAAAAAATTGGATAAATTTGGATCTAGATTAAAGGGCGTCACCCCTGACCTCCGCCCCAATTGTTAAATTTATAACAATGTAATGTAATGTAATGTAATATAGAATAGAATAGAATAGAATAGAATAGAATAGAATAGAATAGAATAATATATAATATAATACAATACAATATATATTATAATATAATATAATATAATATAATATAATATAATAATATATAATAATATTAATTATAAATATATTAATTAATAATATAATATTTAATATAATATAATTAATGTAATGTAATATATAAATATAATATAATATAATATAATGTAATGTAATGTAATGTAATTAATATAATATAATATAATATATATAATAATATAATATAATATAATATAATATAATTAATATAATATAAATATAATATTAATATAATATAATATTAATATAATATTAATATAATATAATTAATGTAATGTAATATATAATATAATATAATATAATAATATAATAAAATATAATATAATTAATGTAATGTAATGTAATGTAATTAATATAATATAATATATAATATAATATAATAATATAATTATAATATAATATAATTATAATATAATATATAATATAATATAATATAATAATATAATATATGTTTATCATATACAATATATATGTTTATATATATTATATATATCATATATAATATATATGTTTATATATATTATATATATCATGATATATGGAGCCTGAGTGGCGTAGGAGGCTAATGCCTCCTAAGGCAGCATTTAACATTCAGCTGCCTGCAATTACTGCGAGTTCAATTCTCACCAGGCTCAAGGTCGACTCAGCCTTCCATCCTTTCTAAGGTAGGTAAATTGAGGACCCAGTTTGTGGGGGCAATAAGCTGACTTTGTATAAATATACAAAAGTATGAAGGCTGTTGCTTAACGCATTGTAAGCCACAATGAAGGCTTATAAAGGGCGGCATATAAATCAAATTTTTAAAAAAAGTTTACATTATTTTATATATGTATGTATGTATGTATGTATGTATGTATGTATGTATGTATGTATATATATAAATATGACAAATCCTTCCATCATTTTCTCCATCATTCGGTCAGAGCTCTGAAGAAGCTTCTCGGACTGAGAGGAGAAAGGTCTTCAAAGAAAAAAAAGGGGGGGTAAAAAGAGCAGAAAATCCAGTTGTCTCTTGAAAAACAAAGCAAAAACTTTTGGGACCCCCCCCCCAATAACTCCTGCAAACGCAGCTACAACCCCTTGCCAGGTGTAACATCTCTCCAGGGGTGAAAAATCCAATTTTTTTTTACTACTAGTTCTGTGGACGTAGCTTGGCGGGTGTGGTGGGTGTGTCTTGGTGGGTATGGCAGGGGAAGGATATTGCAAAATCTTCATTCCCAGCCCACTCTGGGATCAGCCGAAGGTGATATTTGCCAGTTCTCCAAACTGCTCAAAATTTCCGCTACCGGTTCCCCGAACTGCTCAAAATTTCCGCTACCGGTTCTCCAGAACCTGTCAGAACCTGCTGGATTTCACCCCTGCTTCTCTCTCTCTCTCTGATTGGGCATGTTGTGTGAAGGCAGCTGGAGCCTGCGTTGTGTAAGAGAGCCATGAGTCCATCTACAGGTAGTCCTCAACTTACGACAGCTCATTTAGTGACCGTTCAAAGTCACAACGGCACTGGAAAAAGGGACTTCCGACCGTTTTTCACAGTTATGACTTTGGCAGCATCCCCCACGATGCCGTGATCAAAATTCAGTTGCTTGGCAACTGGTTCACACTTATGACCGTTGCTGTGTCCTAAGGTCATGTGATCATCTTTTCTGACCTTCTGACAAGCAAAGTCAACGGAGGAAACGAGATTCACTTTAACAACCGTTGTTACTAACTTATCAACTGCGGTGATTCACTTAAAAACTGTGGCAAGAAAGGTTGTAAAGTGGAGCAAAACTCACTTAACAGAGGTCTCACTTAACAACAGAAATGTTGGCTTCATTGTGGTCGTAAGTCGAGGACTACCTATACCCACAGGTGAATTTCATCAGGGAAATAGAAGTGAATAGGACTGAAGCATTAAAAGTATCCTGTTTGACCTCTCCATCCGTTTTCCCTTCTCTGCAATTCCACTTGCTTGGTGGGAATTTTCACAACGACTGGATCCATGCAAAATGATGCCGAGGGGACTTCAGCCTCTTGGTTAATAGCATTTATGTATTTAGACAGAAGGGATTCAGCTGAAATCTCACTTGAGTTTTGCTTTGCCGTAATGGAGGATCAGTAATACTGTCCTACTCTACAAGGTTGTTGTTAAGATCCCTCAGTTTATGCATACAAAATAACGATGGTCATTTTTACAATACCTGGTCGTATAGTTGAAATTTAAGTGAATTTGGTTAGGTCGATAGTGGAACTGGATGTTCCCTAGTCTTTGTGTCACCAAGCTGTAGAAACTGTGGGAGTTTTTGTGATGTGCAATCAACTAGGTTGCAAAACGAGAATGTACAGATAAATTCTGGAAAACTGGAAAGCCCCAAAGCAGTTGTTTTTGCTTTTTAGAGACTTGTAAACTCGCTTGTAAACTCGCTGACTGTAAGAATATTCTTTTTATCTTGCTCCCTCTGAGCTGATCTCCGTTTAGATATAATACATCTATGTATTTATCTTGATGGTTGCATTAGCAGCAGCAGCAAACTGAAAATAGTTTGCCTTTTTCTAGGATAATTTTTCCACTTCAGAGTTGCAGTTCTGAGATTTTCTGGTGGTCTCTCATCCTGAGATCAGCCAAGCTGTGTGCAGTTTAGCATTCATTTCCTTTTTTAAAAAAGATTTTTTTTTAATTTTTAAACAAAAACATCAAACAACCATCATCCATTACAATCGCGTAAAGTGTGTCAGTCGGTTACAAATCTTTAGTGCTACATCCCATATTCATAATTTACAAATTATCTAATTCCTCATATTTATCAATCTAATATATATCTTTATATTATTATTCTCATTTGTCATTTATTTAATAATGGCATTTTTATCCCATAAAAATCCTTTTCATGTATTATATCATTACATTTATTTCATATTTCTTATTTCATTTCCATGTTTTGTTATCTAGCCATTGATAAAATAAATCCCATATCATATAATATTGTTTATCTTCCTGTTCTCTAATTTCAAACGTCAATTTGCTCATTTCAGCACAATCCATAATTTTCTTAATAACTTCATCTTGCGTAGGTTTTTCCACATTTTTCCAATTTTTAGCAAATACGATTCTAGCCGCTGTTAAGCATTCATTTCCTTGACTTAGAGATGGGGGGATAACATAAGAAAAGATATTAATTCATTTATGGATTCCTATTTTTAAGAACGTTAACATTTTAAAACAAACCTGAATTGAGGTATTCCCCCATTTGCAACTGTTCGTTTAACAAGATTTTGAAATTACAGAGTCAGAAAAAGTGAGTTACGATTTGTACTGAGACTTACAATTGCAGGGTCTTGCAGTCACGTGATCACGATTTGCGACCTGTTTTGTCGACTTAATGAGAAAAAACATCCATTGGGGAAGCTGGAGTCAGTTAATGACAATGTGATTTAAGGACTGCCATAAAAATTGTCATACAATCAGGTCCGACTCGACTCACGACTGCAACAACTTACAACGGAAATTCCTGTATCCAGTCGTGCTTATAAGTTGAGGACTACCTATATTAAAGACGGACATAATTTGGAGTGGCAAAGAGCTCTCTCTCCACTGAACGTCAAATTTTTGAACACGCCTGTGAAGCTTTCTTGACAACTATATAGAAGTGGTTTCCTACTGCTCTCAATTAGGTGTTATTTTAAAAACTTTCCGGCAATGGGTGGTGCAGTGGTTATGTTGTGGCCTGCCAGCTGCCAGCGGAGCTTGTGGCAGACTCAGACAGTGAGGAGGTTGGGGAGGAACATGGGCCAGTCCTGGAGTCTGGGGAAAGCTCTGATGAGAGCTCTGCGTCGGAGGCAGAGATGGGGTCAGGGCCGTCTGACAGTTAGCTGCCTTTGGAGTTGGACATCAGTGGGGCAGAAGAACAGCTGGAGCCTGTTCCCAGTGTGTGCATGCGCAGAGCTGCCAGGAGAAGGGAACAGCTAAGGAACAAGGGTCGACTCAGGAGTAAAGCCACAGGTGGACAGTGAATGGCCCCTCCCATAGGGAATAAAGAGGAGTGAAGGGGAGGGGAGTTTGCAGGAGACAATTAGTTTGCTTAATTGGTTCGTGACTCTCAGAGACTCCTTGCCAAGTTTTGAAGATATCGGCCTGGCAGCTCTCCAAGCCAGATAAGGTCTGTGACTGGAAATTCACCCTTGAAAGACTTTTTTGGATGTGAATGAGAGGAATTCACAGTAACTTAATAAAAAGGGGTTTTTGTCGGGGACAACGAGTCTGCTTCATGCTTTGGGGAAGCCTAGGTTAGAGTGCAGTACTACAGGATACTTCTGCCGGCTGCCAGCAGTTTGATTCTCACCGGCTCAAGGTTGACTCAGCCTTCCATCCTCCCAAGGCTGGTAAAATGAGTACCTAGATTGTTAGGGGGCAATATGCTGACTTTGTCATCCCCTTAGAGAGGGCTGTAAAGCACTGTGAAGCGGTATATAAGTCTAAGTACTATTGCTATTTTCTGGTGATCTCCTATCCAAAGACTAAGCCTCCCTCACCTTGTTTAGTTGCCAAGGTCAGCCAAGTGCTGCGTCAATTTCTATCACAGGAAAAAATTCCATCTCCTGGATTGTTTCGTGGGGGGTGGAGATGACTATAGTGAAGCAGG